GACTCTTTCATACCCTCTTTCCTTCGAAAGCTCTCTGCCTTTTCACTGCAATGCCTCCGCAGTGCCACGGCACGTCAGCCAAATCCACATCGCCCATTGGAACAGAACCTACCTCACCAGCACCGCGATCATAAACAATAAATTGCCGACAAATGTTTCTTCGCAGTTTTGTTAAAGAATATTTCGATCCACATTTTGTTTAATAATTCGCGATGTGACGGAAATTGCCAAATTTTATAATGCTCGAAGCTACGCGCCATCCATCATGTGGTAAATAAAGCAAGAGAAAGGTAAGACTGCACCTGCGCATAGCCACATGTCTGCTCAAAAAACATAGCGTCGGTGGTGATGATTGATGTGGTCAGCGTGGTGGAAGCTCATCGTTCCATGTAGAGCGCTATCCTTGACCGAATTCTCGTCGCGTGTCGCGAAGATAACCCAGCACGTTCTAGAAGGGACGATCCATCTGCTCGTGCAGTGATGTTGTGGTGGCACCCTCCAGACAGCAGAAGCGCCCGTGCCGTCGTCTTTGTTTACTTCGACTACAGTGGTGCTTTCTTAGCATTTCTGTCCTCGAACATCGCCCGGATTTCTTATTTTGTGCATTCAATGCGTAAGCTCAAGTTCAAGGTATTACTGGTGCGTACTGTATTTAAAGGCATGTATGAAGGATGCGAATTTTAATGCGTTTTCATCATCTGAGAAAAGTTATTAGAGTTAGCATTCCGAACGATCGCAACGACTATGTGATCACGAAGTCATATTTCTACATATATCTCTGCTAAGATTACATTGGCTTTTGGAATCGTAGAAAAGGCGTGTGGCGAGATTCATACTATCAGTATGGTGGCTAGAAGGGGAAGTGTGGCGGGTGCCGTATGCGCGCCATGTCAGAGAGGGGCGCGAGTTGCGATGAAAATCTTCACCACCGCGAGGGGCGCTGCAGTCTGCAGGAGAGTCAGCGGTCTCGGGTGATATATTGGTTCGCGGGCGCCGGCACTCTTCCGAGGCTGCTACAAGTTCTGCTGTTTTGGCCTCTGAGTGATCATAATATACATTAGGCTCATAATAAATATATGTATTAATATAAGCTCAAAGTAATCAAGAGTCGTCCTTATTTCATTTCGGTCTAATTCAAGTCCACTGGGTTAAAAGTAACTCAAAGAAATCAAAAGAGTAATAATAATGTCAACAGAGTTTGTTATAGATCATTTGGGGGTATAATAACACAAAGTAATCAAACGAGTAACCAAAATGTCAACTAGGCTGAATTTAAGTTAACTTGGTCAATAGTAACTCAAAGTAATAAAACAAGTAATTGTAGTGTCAATTGAGTGAATAATAAATAATTTATTAAATATTAGCCCCAAGAAATTATAACAGTCATTGCAATATCAATAAGGCCGAATTAATGAATCAAAATTAACTCAAAGTAATCAAAAGACTAATAATAATGACTGACTGAGCTCACAACCGATAAATTGGCGCTATAATTACACAAAGTAAACAAGAGTCACCAACTGTCACTTAAGCCGAATTAAAGTTAATTGAACTGAGAGTAACTCAAAGTAATCAAGAGTAACCATAATGTCTATAATCATCACATAAAAATTCAATTTATTTATAGTAGCTGAAAGTAATGAAGAGTCATTACAATGGCGTTCAATTCGAATTTATGACCAATGGGTCAAAAGTAACTCGAAGTAATCAAAAGAAAAATAATAATGTCAACTGAGTTTATTATAGATCAGTTCAAGCAATAATAGCACGAAGTAATCAAAAGACTAATCATAAACTGCAATTATACTTTATCATCTCAATTGTATCAATGATAAGTCGAGTAATAAAAAAGATTGAACAAGACGTCCATTCAGCTAAAATATATTCGAGTGCGCCATAATAACTCCAGGTTACAGAAAGAGTAATAAAAGTGGGAGTAGTAACTCCAAGTAGTCACAATAGTGATCAAATGACCAGTTGTCCCCCAAAAAATCGAAATGTATAAACAATTATTCTAAGTTACCAAATGTGTAAGCAAAACACGACCCCTGAAGGCAATTAGTGCATATACTATATATTGTGGATTAAATTGACTGACCCCGGGATTAAAGTGGGTAGCGGAAGGATTAAATTGTGTGGCGATTGGATTAAATTGGGTGGTACTGGGATTAAATTGGACGTCGCTTGGATTAAGAGGAGCGGGAAAACCTGTACAGTGTGTGGCTATCTCCGGATCAAGCGGCAATCAAACATTTGTCTGCATGTGCACTTTTCCTGGACATTGTTTTTGCTGACTTATTGAATTAAAATACTCGGCGCACTTACTAACGCCTGTTCATGCACTCTTCCGAGAAAGAAAAAGACTGCCAAAACAAAGGCTGCTTCAGAAGCAAGTAATTTCTTCCTTTGGCTTGTATTCTAGACGCAATATCTGTAAGAGTAAATAAAAGTGAGTTCTACGTTCTATGCCTTGTTTGTCACATTTTTCTTCTGTTGCACTCTGAAGCATATGAAGTGTCCACGATTCACAAAGTTATCAAGTAAAAAAAAAAGTCCAATTTCCCCAGCACAGAAAATATATGCGACAGGGCGGACGTTCACCTGCTCCAGCGCATTTGTTCTAAATGTAAATCAAAAAAATTTTTTTTTTCCTTTCTATTGTGTAACAAGGCGTCAGTAGATTCACCTCTTGAAGAAAACATCTAGTTGTCTTTTCTTGGCGTATCAACTATTTTACAGTATTCGCAACAAGGGGAAAATATCGCACTGCGCTCCATTCCTATGCTCCGCACGCCAGCGCTAACTCGCCTGCTGCGCGTAGCGCCCCCTATTATTTTCATCGCAACTCTGTGCAGGCCTTCGCTCCCGGCCGCCACACGTCCCCTTCCAGCCACCATACTAGCAGTAAGGTAATCTTTCAAAGTCATGATCGTCCAAGACAGCGTATTGCATCTTTTTCTTTTCTTTTTTTTTCATCCGCTCTGCCCTGCGAGCCTATCCTGACAAAATAAAAGTTAATAAAGCTGGAGCCCATAGGAAACTGGATTCTCTGCTACACCAGTGAGTACACCGGTGAGTGACAGCGCGTCCCCTTCTTTTTAGAGACACCACGGAAACGGCCGAGGACGGCAGAGAGCTGCTGTCGTGCTGACGACCCGCTGCACTTCACACCGGCGTATGGGACCAGTCCCATGCTGTCACTGTAGCGCAACGTATCTAATTGAATATGTCCATGGCTATCGCAGTGATGAGAGGCGCCGATTCAGAAAATATGTCGGTGACATCGGCGCCATCAGCGCGGTAAAACCCAGTGGTAAAACCTACCGGCACATGGCCAGCTCGCCGCTAATGCTCCCATTCCCCTACTGCAGAGAGAACTTCCGGTTACGGTGACACAGCACGTTACGACCGTCAAAATTATGTTGCAGCTTGTTTTGCGGTGAGTTGAAGAGGAAGGAAAACTCAATATTCCAATAATTTTTTGTGTAGAAGTTAATAAACCGAAACAAAAACGGATGCCTTTTCAGTGTTCAGTGAACATTGAAGGTTTAATGTTGAAGTTATTTGGCAAAAGTAAAAAGGTCATTTCATGGTCCCTTTAAAGGGATACTACAACAGAATTTTGGCACTTATTTCTTCGTCTATTTGCATTCAATGGAGCATTATCACATCAGACACACCAATATCTTGTTGAAAAAACACGCGAAAAGGAATTTTAAAACAAATTAAACAATTAGCAAAGAGCACCTGGTGGATGTCGCAAACGCCTCGTTTGTAATGACCGTCTAGGAACCTAGACAAATAGTGACGGTAACTGTCTCTCTTCCGGCTACGACGAGAAGAGCTGAAGGAGGAACTCCCCTCTCCCTGAGACAACCTCTTCTGTGTGTCCCAGAAGTCCCTATTGTCCCTCTACAAGATTATAGGAGATTAACCAGTCACTCAAAATTTGTACAAAGACAGCTTTAGAGTTACTTGCGGTGGCCCAATCACTAATGTGCTTCGGCTGCTTTCAGTGGATGCTACGAGCGATCGGGGCCTATCCAAGGCCTTGCAAATATCTTGTGACCTTGGAGCGACGCTCGGAAATCGTACCACAGGCTACATCCAAAGAGTGGGATTTGCTGGAACAGCTCACAGCGTCTGCTGCATCCGGACATAAGGTCCCGAGACAAACTATGTCGCGATTGTGCCGGATGTGACATGCTCTCCGCTGGCTACTCTCCGAGCGTTTGTCAGAGTGGGCCGTTTATAACAAAAAACAGCCATCAGGCTCAAAATACAAATGTGCAATTGTCATTTACGGATATTGTGGATCATATTCAGCCTATTTGTGAACATGACGAGCATATTTCAAATTTCGTTGAAGTATCCTTTAAGGGAAGATGCTCCCCGGAAACACTTTTTCTTTAATATTAAACCTAAGGTTTTGAAACTTTGGTCATTGATAGAGATTTTAATGTCAATTCCAAATAGGTTCTTAGTTTTTATGTAGCTTTGTTGGTTTTTGTGTAAGAGTGTCTACAAAAACACAATATAGTGCTTTTTGTGCACAACTTTTTGATAAATAAATATATTGTTAGCGCAGCCTGCAATAGCTCATGTTGCTGCTTAGGTAAGGTAGTATGTTGAAAACTACTTGAAATTCATTTATATTATCCTATATTTGTAAAAAAAATCTGGAACACCAAAAGTGTTTATCTTAGGTGCTATGAGTCAACATTTACATTTTTTGCAAAAAATATAGAAGGGATATTGAAAATTCAAATAGATATCAACATTCTACACACTCTGAAGAAGCTGTGTGGAAAATTTCATCCAAATCTAACTATTGTAAGTATTTGAAATCTGTTGCACAATGCGTAAAAAATGCTGAAAACTACAAACGGAGAAAAATGCATTTGAAAGTTTCAAACATCTTCATTTCTCAAAAGCATGACCAAAGCACATGAAACTACTTGATAAAATAAAGCAATATGTCCCAAACACAGCAAAGTTCCTTAGAACTCTCCTGGCGCATACGTTGGCCCCTCAAGATCTTCCCGAGTGGAGTCTGTGAGACGTGCTCTCTTCACCATATTACGGCGATGTGCTCGGGCTTCAGCGGTTTGGCGGGCTGACATTTTTTTTATTCTCCTCTGGTCACGGGAGCTGCCCAGGGCGACAAGCTCTTCTGATGGCAGTACGCCAAGCTCCTGAAGCACTTGCTCAAAGCTTCCATGCCCCCTGTTATACCACAAAACAGCAATGGCAGTTGCCGTTTCCACAACAGTCCTGGAGGCAAACTTTGTCTTCGGGCATAGCAGCCAGATTTTGCTATTCAAAGACTCCGCTGCGTTTTGTGTTTTCCCTTGCAAGCAGCGGGTGAGCAGCTTTTCTTCTGTGAGACGCCTGTATATAGGCAGCAGAGCCAGCCCCTGTGCCTTTGTCAGAAGGGGAGTGTGGTCTGGTGCGGGCTCTCCGAGTGCTTCGGCCCGCCGGTGCTTACACCATGATTCCACTCCTTCGGGGCAGAACTTGTGGCTCTTGGCAGCATTTGTGGAACACGAGTGAAAGTAGGACGCCCAAATGGCACAATACATTTTCCTGACGTTGCCCCTGTTGCTGGTGATCGCTATCCGGTAGTAGTTTTGCAACTTTTGAATCTGCCCATCCTTCAACTTCTCACCACGTGGAAGAGGGGTCTTGAGCTTACGAAGTGCAGTTCCTAGGCGCTTGGCCACATGGTTTGTGCAGTCTTCCTTCGTGACAGATGTTTCGCCATACACTTTTGCCTCGGAGACTGCACTAAAAGCTTTACTGTCCCCGTCGCTTAGAAACTTGGTGAAGCGCAATGGTGTCTCCTGTGAGGGGGTCCGCGTCCATATGCGCACTGCTGCCTCTGTTTCCATTGCATGAGAGGAGCATTCTGTATTCTTCTCACAAACAGGGCCATGAAACGCTTGCCACACTTCCTCTTCTTCACTCCCGAGGTCTTGGTGCCGACTGCACGCAAGGCAGAAGTTGGAAAGTACCTCGAAATCGAGGCACAAGCCAGTGTCTACAGACACAGCTGCGCCAACGCCGTTATGGCTTTTGTGGCCCCGCTTTTGCCACGTCCCGTCGAACATAACGCCAACATCGCTGTCATCCACCATCTCCTTCGTGAAAACTCTAGCTTTCTCCATGTTTTCTGCCACGGCTTTCATGGCCGCAACATGAACTTTTTTGCCGATCGCTGCAAAGTTCTTATGATGTAATGGCACCGGCAAGCCAAGAACGGCACAAAAACGCGAGAGCTGTTCGTGCCCGATGTCAATCGCGCGCGCTGCCACCACCGCCTTGATGTTCACGGCAAAGCTGTCGCGGGAGCTCCCACTCTGATAGTCTCGGCTTCCGCTGGCGCCATCCGCAAGTTCACCAGGCACAACACGGCTCGAGGTGTGCACAGCAGAGAGTACCGATGCAGGGCACTCGGTATTCGCACAATGCAGCTCAAGAAAAGACGAAAGGCCCTTTCGTTTTTCGGTCGCTTCGCGTACCGCAAGGGTACTGGTGTAGCACATTGGGCAAGCAGCACCGCTTACCAGCACCGTAAGCGCGCTGATGTCGCATATCGCAGTACTACTCGTGGAATCCCGACCGCTTGCTGCTCTATCTTTCTCGAACAGTCCAATCTTCACCTCTGAAGCGCTGACAAAGTTCACCGCGGCGTCGATTTCGTCCGAGTGGCCGTCGCCCTCGTTAGGCCTAGCTGGCGGCGGCGGGCCAGCGCTGGTCGGGCGAGTGCTTTCCGCTGTCGTTTTCCGTTGAGGTTTGCGACGGCGTCCTCGGTACTTATTTTTCGTCCGAGACTTCCGAGCTCGGAAGTCACGCTTTGTCGGGTCGTTCATTGTGAATTCAATCAACAAAAACAAAAAGGCCAGAGAGGTTGATCGAGATGCCGTAAAATCCGAGAGCAGGAGGTAGGCTTCGCCGCAGAAACGCATCAGTCTCGGCCAATGGTGGCCTCGCTAGAGCACCACGTGATTTAAAGGTCCAGTAGCAACGCTCGAAACGGGCGCAAAAAACACGACTTTTTCATTATTTTCAGCCAAAATGCGAAACTGCGGGAGGGGCTGTCTGTAAGAAAAAGGCTTACTCAACCTCCCCAACCAAACGGCAATGGCGGACAGCGACGCGTTCTCGAGATGCAGACGCTCGAAGATTGACGATGTGCGCGGAAAATAGCACTTTCTCGAGCAACCGTAGTTGAATAAAATAAACTTTTTACTAATTTGGCGTTCGAATTTTCGCATGATCTTTTGGGAAGTTGTAACTGAATGTCCAAGGATATTTTTACGGGCAAAAACTCAAAACTAAAAAGTTGCGCGAAAAACTCGCTTTTTCGACGCGCATCTCCCCTTAAGTAAAAAAATCCCAAGCATTTCACAGATGTGCCAAGCTTTTCTTGGAGAGCCCGGCAACCTGGGTGTCGAACCGAACCGAAACCGAACAGTTATTTTTGACTGAACCGGAACCGAACCGAAATCTTTGCCACCATCTTGGAACTGAAACGGAACTGAACCAGAAAAAAATATAACGGTAACCGGTTCAAAACGGTTCACGGTAAATTATTTTCTTTTTTGTTAGTATCAGAAAATAGATATTTGAGAATAAAAAATTGGCAGCTGCATTTCTATATATTGACCAAATCGTCATATACAGAATTGCCGTGTGTGAGAAATTGTGGGTTCTCGTAGCGGTTTTGTTTTGGCTGTATGATTAATCATGTGTCACATGGTCCCTTGACATGCATGGTGTCAAGTATAATGACCGGGACGAGTCTCCAACTGGTGTGTTTACTACGCCTCAAAAAGTGGTCCCTCATTTTCCTCTTAATGACATCATAAAAGTGTCGTGCTGTCATCGGTTGCGATCCTGGCGGTGTGACAGCAGCGGTGGTTGATGTGGCAGACGCCTGTTCTTCTGCAGCTCGCTCTCCAGTGTGGCAGTTCACGGTTGCTTCGGCAGCTAAAAGTAAGGGCGCCGTGACGACAGCGACACTCGCGTTCTCAGTGCTTTTCACCAGCATTTTTACGACCAACTGCCAGAATCACGTCATCCGACAGCAGGACACTCCAGCTTTTGTGACATCATTTGGTGACACATTGGAACCATTGTTCATGTATGGGAGAGACGGGGCGCTAAAAACACACCAGTCGGAAAAGCGTTCCAGGCACTCTTGTGTCAAGAAATGCTGTCAAGTAATGTCACGTCATGTGGCCCAGTGACATCATGTGACTCACTGAGTCAAATCAATTTAAATTTAGAACGTCACTAGATTTATTAGCGTTGTCGACACCATAACGTCGCATGGCGTCACGACTTCGCATTGCAAGTCATGTTGCACCCTAACATACTCGCTTGTCATGAGCCGGAGTCGAATGCTCGGGTTCATGATAATCCCCCAGCATAGCCAAACATTTCTGTAATGGGTCGTGTTTAATTAAAGATGAGAAGAGTCAAACTCTAACAATATCTGAAGCTCAGCCCATACTCTATGCTTTCCCAACCCCAGAGCATGACTATGATGTACACCGACCTGTGTATGATTAGCATCAGTTCACGTGGCCGCTTATTCTAATTTGCGAGTTAAGGGGGGGGGGGGGTTCTTTCCTTCATTTTTTTCTGCATCTAATGGGTATTATTTTTTTTTTTTCAAGTTATCAAAGGTTGGGAGTAGCTCTTAGCGGTATTTACTGAAAGTACAAAAATTGTTGCACGACCTATTTTACACGTACACATCACTGAGGCACCCGGTCATATTTTCGTTGTAGCTGAACGACCTGAGATAGTTGTCCCCGTGAAGCATTTATGAAATGTGACTTATTAATCCGACGTTACATATAACTACAACTGAGTACGGGAGGGATATCGGAAAAGAAAGATCCTAGTGTCCTCGGAGGGACAGCAGTACATTGCCAGTCACTCTAAGTCTTACTGTGTCCTGAAAATTTCCCCCAAGATTCGACCACCTCCATATTTTGTTTATTTTTAGATGCAAAATAAAAGGAATGGAGAATTACTCAAGTGACACAAATAGAATTGTCAAATTAACACCCCCAAACAGAGTAGGGAGTCCCTCAGGAAGAAAAAGTATTCTCTGAAGGAGCAATGAAAAAAGGGAGAAGAAAAAGGGGGATACTTTTAGAAGTGTGCTGTGTTGTAAAGGTTCATCTGCTCCGCATCTTCGGCACAGACAAGAGAGCGTAGCCCCGGAAACAACTATCTTTGCAAAAAATACTCTAGTCAGAAAGCGTGTTTTCGTGATGCCAGACGCTCGCGCCGTTCCTCACGACGCTGCACCAAGCAAGAATAATTTGTGTTTCTCAAATACATGGCTTGCACTGAAAGTGAATCTTCTGCAGCGTGTATTTTGCATTACCCGATTTTATTTTCTCACCAAGAACAAATCGCAATAGACCCTTCCGGAAAATCCCAGGAGACCTCGCGGCAATGGGAATTGTGAGGCTGCTCCGATATACGCTCGAGCAGGCTCGAACACTTCGTATATTCCTGTAGCAACACGGTTCAATCTCGCTTATCATTAGGAGCTCAGAACGCCCAAAAAATAAAGCGAACACAAAAGGAGCTCATCGCATTTTTCGCTTTGCTTCCCTTCCGCCTTCTTTTGGTTCTAAAACCACAGGACGTTAAACCAAAGTCAACTTCGTCCTCACCTCATTAATCTAACATGACATACATCGGAACGTCCCAACGCGTCAAGCATACGGTGGGGGCGCCACATATTTCCGGAAAGGTCTATTAACACCAGCATATAGTGTGATGACGTCACGTGCAAATCATGTTCAACAGTTCAGTTTCCTCGTGAAATGCGATGTTCGCAACACAAGCAAAGGTAGATGTCCACATTGTAAATTTGTGCTGTATAGATAGCAGTCTCACGTTGATATATAGCAGCCAAACAAAATGTTAGAGCGCACGACTGAAAGTACAAAGTTGTAGAGTGAGTGCCAAAAACAAGTGCATGTCAAACCCAATGTAACATTAACCTCCCGAGGCGGTATTTCCCAAAGTTTCAAGTTCATGCAAACTGATGGCCAAATGTGATTTAAGTTAGTGTTATAAAAATCTTTGTCTGCCCTTTGGGCTATTTATGTCAATGTGTAATTAGGAATATCATTACATCTCTATAAATTTCTTTTTGCGTTAAGGCATCGTGTATCAGATTCTTTTTAAGATTACCATTTATTATCGTTCTGTTCCTGCCCAATTTGTGCAATTATTGTGTGCCTGATGAATTAAAAAAAAATATATATAAAAAATTTATAACTTTAGACCAAGTGCAACAATTACACTAACCTTCAGGCCTTCTACCGCAGCATGTATGACATTAGCGACTTTGAAAACTGTGCATAATATAGGCCAGGGCATCTAAATTACACCTGTAAAATGCGAACTTCCAGAAAAAGTAGAAACAGAAAAAAATATTTTGAAAAAACACATTTTCAAAAAAATGCCCCATATTGGAAAAACAAAATAAAAAAAAACGGTCTCGATTTTATTAAAACTCTGGGGTACAACTCTCCTTAGGCCAGGCAAAAAGAATGTACAAAAACATGTTGCATCATTTGCTTGGTACAAAAGTTCTGAGCGCTCAAAGTGGCGGTTGCAAAGCATCTCGACTCCAGCGTTTTTCGCTTTCCTGTGGTTGTTTACGGGCACTCATGAAAGTTTAAGCTCCTTAATCGCGCTTGGACTTTGCATGTCTCGTTTATTAAAACTGTAGGGAATAAATAAAAGAACTACGCCTCAGGTACAAGGCTACGTGGCGGCGCTTATATCAGGGCGAAGCCAAGGAGAAGGTTCATTTACGTTTACCACGTGGTATATGTGGTTCGCTGTCGCTGTCAGGAGCTAGTAATATATTTGAGCTCACGTTTGCCTTGGGGCCAACGTACACATCCCCCTTGGCTCCCCGCGGTAACATAAGCGCCCCATACCCTTGTACCCGAGCCATCGTGCCTGTATTCTCTGCAGTTCTAATAAACGAAACTCGAGTAGACTTCAGCATAACTCCTGCACGAACAGTTGTCCAAGCGCTGCTTCCCTTACGTTTAAAAACGTGACAACGACCTAACTACCGTATTTGCACAAATATAACGCGTTTTTTTTAAAAATTACGTGCTCCAAAACGCACCTCGCATTATATTCGGAATCGAGTCCAGCCACCAGACGCGCGAGTCTGGAGAAAGCCATTCCTTCGGCTCAGTGCAGGAGATTGGGTGGGAAGAGAAATT